GGGGTAAAAACAGGCGGAACGATTCCAAATCAATGTTTGAAGATGGAGAAAAAGGGAAGACATTACTCCTGATGTGTGTATGGGACCCACTGCTTCCAACACCTTTAAAGCTTGAACTACATAAACAGAATCTGAGATTAAATTAAAAGGAAATGGACATTGTTCAAAAACTTTTATGACAATTTGCAGCTCCACCCATTGTGGATTACCAGGAGCAAACTGATGTTGGATAGGAGGCTGATCATTTACCACATAGGCTCCAATACCAGTCTTAGATCCATCTGTAAAGATATTTGCAGCTCCTGGGATAGGCATAGAAGAAGTGATCTTAGGGAAAATGATAGGATGTTCCTTAACAAATGTAATAAGAGGATGTGATGGATAGTGATTATCTATCTCTCCTAGAAAAGAGCATCTTAATATAGCCCAATTATCCAAGTTAGCACATAAGACCAGAATTTGTTGACATGTATAAGGAACAATCACAGACGTTGGAGAGAAACCAAAAACTTGTACACTTTGTTGTATCCCTAACATAGCTAAGGAAGCAACTGCATCAGGATAATACTCAAGGGATTTTCCAGGGGACATACGTGGATGTATCCACAGTAAAGGACCATCTTGCCATAAAACTCCAGTAGGTTGTCGCACAGTGGCGAGCACACATAGTTGGAGAGGTTTATCCTCTTGAAACCTACAAAGGCTAGCATGTTGTATAGCCTCTTCCACTTTAAGCAACACTGACCTGGCTTCCTCAGTAAGATGTCGAGGGGAAGTAAGATCTGAATCACCTTTAAGAATTTCATACAAAGGCTTTAATTCAACATTGGGAATATGTAGGTAGCTTCTAATCCAATTTATATCACCCAATAATTTTTGGAAATCATTTAGCATCTGTAATTTATCAGTCCTTAGAGTTATCTTTTGGGGTGTGATAGCTTTACAAGAGATAGTAGCACCAAGATAATTAATGGAGTCCCCCATCTGTACCTTATCAGGTGAAATAAGCAAGCCTTTCAACTGTAGCAAATGTACTAAGTCAGTATAAGCGGCCTCCAACATACATTGGGTCTTTGCTGCTAACAAAATATCATCCATATAATGTACACACCTTAATGATGGATATTTTTGTCTGAGTGGAGCAATAGTCTCACCGACAAACATTTGACACATGGTAGGACTATTTGCCATGCCCTGCGGCAGAACCACCCACTCAAACCTCTGATCAGGTTCCTCGTGATTACACGAAGGTAAGGTGAAAGCAAAACGTTCTGAATCTAGAGGATGCAATGGGATGGAAAAGAAACAATCTTTAATGTCTATACATATCACTGGCCAATTTTTAGGGATAGTAGAAAGCAAAGGCAGCCCTCTCTGAATAGATCCCATGAGTTGCATTTGAGCATTAATAGCCCGTAAATCGTGGAGCAACCGCCATTTTCCAGTCTTTTTCTTTATAACAAAGATGGGTGTATTCCAAGGAGAAGTGGATGGCCTTATATGTCCTAACTTTAACTGTTCTTGAACTAAACCATGTGCTGCAGCCAGTTTCTCAGAGGAGAGTGACCACTGAGGCACCCATACTGGCTCCCCTGACTTCCAGGTAATGGGCACCTGATCCTCAGCGGCCCCTAAGAAAAACCCAACTCATGTCTGTTAAGTTTTGGTATTGATTGTATGGGACGTCTACGTCCCTGTAAATTTTTACCTAATCCAAGACCTGGTCTATATCCCATGTCTTGCATCATCTTTTGGGCAACTGTTGAGTATTCATTACTAAGTTGAAACCCCATGTCCTTCATAAGATCACGTCCCCATAGGGAGATTGGGAGATCAAGTACATATGGTTGAAAAATGCCAGAATGTCCTTCAGAATCTTTCCATGATAGATGTCTACAGCTGACTTGTGGAGCTTGAGCATATCCTAAACCCCTCAGCGATTGATCCGAGAGTTGCACCGGCCACCCCTTTGACCAGTCCTTCATTGCTATTATGCTACGATCTGCTCCAGTATCCAGTAATCCTAAAATTGATTTGCCTTCTATAGTTAATTTTAATGTGGGACGGTCATCCATTTCTAAGGACAAAAAGACACAATTTCCCCCCGTTGTCCCAATCTTATCATTTAATCTCAAATGGGAGCCAGCAGGAAAATGGGTATGTAGACTGGGTAGAATTAACAATTGAGCAATCCGGTCTCCTGGGGAGATGGACACAATACCTTTCGGAGCTTCTACCATAACCTTTACTGTTCCTATTGTATCTAGATTAATAATTCCAGGGAAGATGTAAAGGCCTTGTAAAGCGGAAGAAGCACGCCCAACTAACAACCCTACAGTACCAGGTGGCAAAGGTCCTTTAAAATCAGTTTCCACCAATTGGACTCCCATTTTGGGTGTTAATACGAGTCTGGAGGCGGAACAGAGGTCCAGTCCCGCAGCACCTGTAGTGGTTCTCCGCGATCTTTGGGATGTCGTAGAGATGGCCATGTTTCGCTCTCCAAGGTCCCATTCTCCATTGCCCCATATATTTGCGGGCCCTGAGGTCGAGGGCCCCTCCGGCCGTTTTTTGGCACCTGTCTATCTGATATTGGCTGTCCATGGATGTCCTTGACTGATCTGCATTCATTAGCCCAATGTTTACCCTTCTTGCAACGAGGACATAGTCCCGGCTGTCGAACAATTGAGGATGACCCTTTTTTGTCCTGTAACTGACATGTTCGTGGACAATCACGCTTAAAATGTCCCTCCTGGCCACATCTAAAGCACTTTCCTGTATGAGGGGGTGGTTTTCGGGTTAGCTGGAGAACGGCAGCAGCCAACCCTGCATTAGTAAGGGGCCCACCTATTTCCCTACAGACTTTCATCCATGCCTCTATTCCTTTATTTTTATATGGGGTTATAGCTGCTTTGCATTCCTTAGTACATTGTTCAAAAACAAGTTGTTTGATCAAAGGCATAGCTCTATCAGGGTCCCCGAATATTTTCCCTGCTGCATCTACCATCCGAGCTACAAAGTCAGAAAAAGGCTCTGTGGGGCCTTGAATGATCTTAGTTAGATTACCAGATACTTCCCCTCTGTTAGGCAAGAACTTCCAGGCTCGGATGCAGATGTTGTTGATTTGCTCATATACTTCCGGTGGGTACCCTGTTTGTTGATTGGCAAATCTGCCCTGTCCCAAAAGCATGTCCTTATCCCAGGCAGGGCGTCCCGCCGCATGGTTTTGGGCCGCCTGCTCCACTGCCCCCTCTAACATAAATGCTCTCCAATCCAGATACTTTCCTGGAGAAACACAGGCGCGCACTAGGCTCGCCCAATCAGATGGAGTCATACAAAAGCGAGAAAGGCCCTCCACCTGGGTAAGTGTAAATGCAGCATCCACACCATAGGTTCGGACTGATTCAGCCAATGTCTTGACAATTTTAAAGTCAAGGGGTTCATGATATCGCCCCCGATTGGCATCTTGAAACACAGGGAATGCTAGACCCATGTCCGAATGAACCGTTCTCCATGTTTGTGCATGAAACATCCTATTGAGTCCTGGGTTAGGATAGGGTGGAGGGTCAGGAGGAACCTCCAAAGCATCCACCCCCTCTTCCTCATATCCCACATCTGTCTCTGGGTACTTATGTTCTGTGTAGACAGCCTTATGGGGATCACCTCACCCTTTAGTTTCACCTTTTCCCCTTTTCTCTCTAGCTTGCCATGATAACAATTCCAATACTTCCTCATTGTCTGAACTACTGTCTTCCTCAAAGGCTTTCAATTCCATCAAATCTGGATAAAGTCTAGTCTTTGGCTGACTTGAACGTTAATCATCTCTATCACTTCCCCCACTCTTAATACTTTCAGCTCCCTCAGACCTCTCCTCATGCAATTGTTCAAGAATCTCCTGTCCTTTGGTTAGGGCATCCTGACACCTACTGTCAGATAAACAACCCCTTACTAACTTCCATAAGGGAATCACCCCACCTTCGAGGGTCCCTTGTTCGTGTGCAAAATCTAAGTCCTTACCTAGTTTTTCCCAACTGGGGGTCGTGAGACTGCCCGAGTAAGCAAACCACGGGGCCGCTAGGTCTACTTGTTTTAAGAACATCTGCAAAGTACTCTGTTTAACTTTTAAACCTTTAGATCATAGCAGTCCATCCAGGGCTAACAGAATAGGGCTAGAAGCAGAGGTGCCCATGGCGTTAATGCAGAAAGCGAAAGCAAAGAAATAAAGCGAAAGTCCAAAAAATTCCCCGCTCTCTCTTCTTACAGAGGAGCGACCCGCTAATTTTTCCGCAGATTCCCACTTACCTGGGAACTTACCGGTGCACCACCCTGACCGCTGAAAGTTCTGGATCCTGGGATTGAGAGGTATTCGGTTCCCCGTGCGGGCCACCAATTGTCGCGACCCCCTCGCCAGCAAGGAAGACACGACACAGGATTCTTCTTTCAGCGGTTTATTCAGGCCTTAATTCTAGTCTTCTCTCAAGCGCGCTTGCTTCCGCGCACCCACACACAGCCTAATAAAGCTTACTCAATTCCAATCAAAAGCTGCCACGTGGGGTTTTCTCATAGGGTATTGAGGGACAGTGCGCCAACTCTTCCTAATAAGGAGTTGTTTACCAAGATCCACAATGGAGACCGGCGCCATCTTCTAATGGCGGCAACGGTCTACAAACATGGCTCACCACAGCCTACCTATATAAAAACCTTAAGATTCCAAATTTTAAATTAAGCTATGTTAGAGTGAACAAAATCTAGACCCTATCTACACAGATTTACTAAGTACTCTTACTGTGTAATGTTTCAGTAACCACATTAAAAAACTTTATTAAGTAGGTTCCACTACCTTAGTAGAACAAATTAATTTTATTGCTTTATCCATGTGGTGCTTTTTGCAAGGCACTGTGGTATGAACTAGAAACCTTGGAATGACTTGTGAAAAAAAACCTTGGAATGACACATGAAGGATGTCGCGACCCCTTGCCCGCAAGGAAGACACAACTCGGGAATCTTCTTTCAACAGTTTATTCAGGCCCTGGATATTTCTTCTTCTCTCTCTCGGATGCCCCTCCCAGCCTTAATAAAGCATCCCAAGCCCCAATGCAAAGCTGCCGCATGGAGCTTTCTCACAGGGTGGTGAAAAATCATGTGCCAACTTTCCCAGATAAGAAGTTGTTTGTCACAGACCACAGCGGAGCCAGCGTCATCTTGTAATGGCGACCATAGTCTGCAGAAACGGCAGAAGCGGCTCACCACAGTTCCCCCTTTCTGTTTTCTTAAAACAATACAGGCGAGAGTAGAGGTCCTATCCCACTGTGCAGAAGTGGCTGCATAGTATGACTCAGTCCTAAGGAGGGCCCTTCCCCAGATCTGAGGCCATATCAGCCGACGCCTTTTTTCGTGGGGCGGGGCGTGGACGCGTCTAACCCGCATGCAATAGGACATGCTCTCCTTGAGGTCCACGTCAAGGATCACTCAAGTGCAGTGCCTTGCCTCGCATCCTGTATCGTGACGATGGTGGACGAAGGGGGATAGCTGAGGCTGAACTGTGGCTGTTTATAACGACAAACAAGTTGACAGCACCCTGAAAGAAAGGCACGGACTTTAAGGCGATAGAAAAGCACTAGTGTGGAAACCCATCTGCGTGCAATGGCAGTAAGACCGGCAGAGTGCAAGGGCTTTCCAACACTAAGAGAATAACAAGGAAAGTCATGTCGATCCCAGTGCAATGTTATAATAACTTGGGGTGTAACGAACATGACAAAGGTTTACTGCTTAAGATGCGCAAGCCAGACTTGAGGCGAGTTGCCATTTTCTAAAGCTGCAAGAGCTTGTATGATCATAGCCTTTTCTTGTGCATGGAGAGTTTTAAGGCGACAGAGAAGCCAAAAACAGAGTACAACACCGAAGCAACACATTGCACCAAAAATGCCTACTCCCACCCACTCTTTGAAGAAGGAAAAAGCAGAAGATATCCAATCGGTGAATTGACCCAAAGTCACTGGTTCAACACGGGTACTATTCAAAACAGCAATCTGAGTTAGTTGAGACTGGATCAAGTTTTCTGCTTCCATGGACCAGGTTCCGGATAGATACTCTCCAATGATGCGGGAGGCATTTCTGGAATCATAAAATCTGACAGAGGTTATACATAAATGTGCACGTTGATCAACACAACCCAAATGTACTAGGTCAGACAATTCCTCAACTTAAGCTTGAAGCAGATCTATCCTTTGATTAGCAGCCAGAATCCCAGATAAAATATGTTGATTAATTCTACTTTGAGATTCAAGTATGGTGGATGTTTGTTGAATAACCTGATTAATAGTGGCAGCAGTTTGTACCTGGCTGGCCATGGCTACTCCAGCTATAACTGCTGCAGCAGCAGATACCGCCACAGCTGTCACTATGGCTGCCATAATTCCAAAATCTCTACGGGCTCTAATCAGTTCAACAATAGGAAATGACTCTGAATCTGTAGTAACCGGAATCGGGACAAAGGTTGGAATTTTCATAACCACTGCCGTAGTCCAGGAGCCATTCCAACACTCAGACAAGTAGCAAGTAACATTAGAACAATTAAGCATCCCCTGTAATGTAACATTAGCCAAAAGAAACAGGAACGGAGATTGGAGACGGACTGCTGCGGAGGGTAATGTAGCATTAGATAATTGTGAATTATTTGCAGAAATTTTAAGCCTCCTATCTCACTCCGAGTCTTGGGTACTGCCAGAAACATTAAACAGCCAACTTTGGACTCCTAATATTTCCCTGGGGAAACACAAGCGCGGACTAGACTAGCCCAATCTGAGGGAGTCATGTAAAATCTAGTAAGTCCCTCCACCTGAGTGAGAGTGAAAGCGGCATCTATGCCATAAGTGCGGACAGATTCTGCCAAGGTTTTAATTATCTTAAAGTCTAAAGGCTCATGATATCTTCCCCTGTTATTGTCCTGAAATACAGGGTATGCAAGTCCCATATCTGTATTAACTGTCCTCCAAACTTGTGCATGAAAAGATCTCCCAGAACCTTGGCTCCCCCCACATACGGAGGTGGGGCAATCGGCACCATATCTTCTTCTAGATATTCTACCTCCTCATCCTCAGAGTTTTGTTGACCAATGTTAACTCCCTTCCCCTTATTACAGTAGGCCTGTGTGCCCTGTGTCTCCTTTTTCTTCTTTTTCATTTTTATCTTATGTAGTTGTTGTAACAATATATCAAGGTCCTCAGAACTCTCTGAGTCGCTTGTGTTCTCAGGCGTTTTTAATTCGGTCAAGTCTGGGTAGAGCCTTCTCCTATTTTTATCTTCAGGCTCTTTTGCCTTCTCACTACTGTTACTTTTAATACTCTCTGCCACTTCACTACATGATCCTTCAGATTTTTCCTCATGCAGCTGCTCAAGAATAGCTTGACCCTCACTTACAGCTTCCTGGCATTTACCATCTGTTATACATCCTCTAACTAACTTCCAAAGTGGTATAATGCCACCCTGCAAGGTACCTTGCTCATGAGCGAAATCTAGATCTTTCCCTAATTTGTCCCAGCTGGGAACCGTAAGACTCCCTGAAAAAGCAAACCAAGGAGCCGCTATATCAGCTTCTCTTAAAAACATCTGCAAAGTACTCTGCTTTATCTTAAGTCCTTTTGAATGTAACAACACATCTAGGGCCAGCAAAATTGGGCTTGAAGAAGCAACGCCCATAATGTTTTTAGAGCTGTAAAGAAAGTGAAAGTACAAAAGTCCCCGCTCTCTTCCTTTTACAGGGGAGCGTTCCGTTCTATGAATTCCCCGCTCTCTTCCTTTTACAGGGGAGCATCCCTGTCGTCACAACAACAAAAGAAGCACAAAAAACAAAAGCAAAATGACACAACAACAAAAGAAACACAGAAAACAAAAGCGAAAGTAGAAGCGAAAGTACACAGTGCAGCTGCAATAAAATGTAAGGCTCTCTCTTTCTTTACAGAGGAGCTGCCCCGCTTTGGTCGCGGATCCCACTTACCTGGGACTAACCCCGCTTTGATCGCGGATCCCACTTACCTGGGACTAACCGGTGCACCACCCCTGACTGCTGAAAGTTCTGGTTCCCGGGTCTCGGCACCACTTGTCGCGACCCCTTGCCCGCAAGGAAGACGCAACTCGGGAATCTTCTTTCAACAGTTTATTCAGGCCCTGGATATTTCTTCTTCTCTCTCTCGGATGCCCCTCCCAGCCTTAATAAAGCATCCCAAGCCCCAATGCAAAGCTGCCGCATGGAGCTTTCTCACAGGGTGGTGAAAAATCATGTGCCAACTTTCCCAGATAAGAAGTTGTTTGTCACAGACCACAGTGGAGCCAGCGTCATCTTGTAATGGCGACCATAGTCTGCAGAAATGGCAGAAGCGGCTCACCACAGAAGGATGCTATGAAAGTCATTCTGAGGCAGGATGTCTCAGTGAATTGTTTTTAACAGGATATAGAACACCAGTAATGAGTTCTAGTTAAAATTCACAGAATGAAAACATCTTAAGGTGAGTGACTTCATATGTCCTTCCTGATGCTCTGAATAAAAAAGAAAAAGAAAAAGAAAAAAAATTAAGAGAGCCAATAACTAGGGTGCTACAGATGCCTTCTCTTCAGGGTATTTCACGAGGTCTTGTGGACATAGCCACACTGGACAACCTTCTTGGTGTGCATCTTCTTGGCCATCTGGGTCTGCAGCTTGGCAACCATCTTCGTGGGGTCAACCCCTAGGCCTTTCTTCCTTTCAGGGCTGCTGTGAGGCTAGGCTTCTGGTACCCTTGCCGCCCCTATAAGGAGGCACTCAGGACAGGGGCCTGCTGAGGCCACTGGGCCTGGATGTGTGGGGTCAGGGAGCAGGGCAAGGCTTGGCAGTGGGGCACCTGGCACCAGCGGAGAACATTGGGCTGGAGGACTGGGCCAGAAGTGTGCATGGGAGCACAAAATTGGGCCACCAGGAAATTCTCAGCAGGTGCTCTGGCAGCTGCTGTGAGCCTGGATATAAAGAGAAAGGAAAGGCAAAACCCGGACAGTGCAGCCCACCATCTCTGCGAAGCAGTTTCTTGTGTAGAATGTAAAGGTCTGTTATCAAGTTATGTACAGTGTTGATCAGGATAAACCTCCATCCTTGAATTAGCAGGACAACAATTATGGCCTATACCAACTATCCTTTTTCAAAAATCATATATTTATTATTTCAAGAGAATCCTATAACCAGAGGCAATTAGATGTGATTGCTTTATAGGGGAATTGACATAGTTTTTATGTGGGGGATCAAGGCTGAGTCTTGAATGGTCCCAGGAATGAGTAGACTCAACACTGTGGAAAAGTGGGCCTAGAGTTAGACCATCCTTGGATGTAGGTAGTTTACCCCAAATTAAGAATGATTTCTCTCAGCACCAAAGTGGGCCTTGCTATCCTTGTGATGGGCATGTATCCTGAAGGTCAGTCATAAGAAGCCAACACTACATTTCTGATTTTGTAATGATTTTCTGGTCTGGAAAAATCTATTTCCAAAGTCACTGACCATAACTGTATTGTTTAGATTATTGATTAAAGTTAATCTTTAAAGACATCATAGTAATTTACTGTTAGAATTTCTGTCAGGATCACTGTAGAACAAATTAGGATGTGCCATTAGTCTTCTGTTTAATAGCATATGGAGTAGTCTTATATGTTTTATCTTCATATTTGTGATTTTCTTATGTGCCAGTTTAAGGCAAAGATTTTTTTTTTTGGCTTCCAAAAATTTGGGATTTATTGTGTCAGGATATAGAAATGTAAGAATGAATAAAACTATGTCTTTCATTAAAGGAGATATGTGCAATGTGAGGTGGAACCAGGTGTTGTGGTAGATGGAGACAGCAGTGAGCACAGTGCAGGTCTCCTAAGTGGCTTTTGGGGGCTGCAGGATAGCCTGCCCCTAGAGCTTTCCTGCTGTTCCTGTAACAGGCAGAGTCTGATTAGACTTGTGTCTTGAGGGAAGCTCCTGCTGAAGTGGTGTGTGTTTGGGGAGTTAGTGTGGTGAAGAATCTGATAGTCTCCACTGGGCTTACTGAAAAGGAGATGACACTGGTAAGTGGTATACAAGATATAATGGGATTGCAGGAGGAAAAGTTAAAAAGTGTTCCGTTATTTCTCAGGGTCATCATGTATCATGACCAGCACAGCTAAACTTGCAGGTTCCTTCAAGGAGTGAAGGGAGATTAGAAAAAAAGACTCACAGATGCATATTTTGAAGATTAAATAGCTGGCATCTGAGTGGAGTACTGCTGTCTGATGGAGAAGCAGATTTACAGTTACACCAGCAATCTTTATTTATATAAGTCTCATTATCAGGTTAAAGACTATGAAAGCATTATTCTTTTTACTCATAAAGTTACAGGGCTAGCAACACTTATGCAGCTTTTCTGCAGTTACAATTTACAATTGCTATGTGCAATGTTAGGAGCTTTGTGTAGCTCTCCAGAAAGTCCATTGTTTAAAGTTACTGTTAAGTAGGCAGCTTCAGAAGTAATAGAGCTAGTGAAACATTGTAGTTGTCTAGCAGGAGAGTTTCTCTATTCTCAGGAGCTATGGACCTGAGATCAAGGTCAAGGCAGATAAAATTCTTCTGAAGAGCCTCCTCATGCAGGGCATTATCACAGCAGCTAGGCACTCTGAAATCTTGCACTGGAACATTCCCAGGCAACAGGCTTGCCACAACCATGAGGTCATCAGATACCCCAGTCTCAGACACTGCTTTCCCATTCTTTGTCATCATTCTCCACATTCATGGTTAGGAAAGTTAATATTCTTTGTGTTTAGCAGAACAGAAAAAGAGAGGGGGGTATAGGTTGACAGAGAGCCCATGGCTGATCTTGGGCTTGCTCCCATGAGCTGTTGTCTTAGGGGGGATGAACCTGCCCCACTGGGGTGGGTAACCTGGCCAAATTGAGTGCCCTGACAAGTCTTCAAGGGGAAGAGCCATGCCAGATTCACCATCCTGTGCTAGAGAAGAAAGGATCCCCAGTGGCCCTGTGGAGTAGAGGCAGGGTCAACTGAGGCCCATCTGAGAAAAGTGGAGGACTGATGGGATCTGGGGAACTTCAAGTTTTAAAGCAGTTAACATCATTCTATCTTCTCCTTGGACACCTCTGCTGTTGTCCAGCAGAAGCACCTATTTTGGTACCAAATGTCTTTGTACCACAAGAATTGTCTTGGTTGTATAAAAATGGGAAAAATTGAACGTTGAAGAAAACTTGAATTATTAAGTAGTCATTCATTGACCCATGCCTACTGGTTTTGCACATACCTATGGTTTAGCTACCATCCCAACAATCCTTAGAGTTCCTGATGGGAAGAAGCTCAGAGCCCACACCTTTGCTAGCTGTCAGCAGTTTGGTTACCTGCTAGCTCCAGGTGCAAGTGAAGCCCCAGTTCTACCATTGATGGCAGGCCCCCCCTTGGGAAGCCCACACTCAGCCCTTGGGGCTGACACATAGAAATCCCACAGATGAGTGCCCATGCCAGCACCAAGACACATTCTGCTGACAGCCAGGCTGCAAGGTCTTCTGGTGCATCTAATACATCTGCCTCAGCCTCCATAGTTGCTAGCCAGAGGCCAGGGCTTGTGGCCAGAGTTTTTCTCAAGAACAGGCAGTCTCAGTCAACATGGGACAACCAAGGTTCATCCCCCTGAAGTTGGTGTCAGTAACCTCAAAGGTAACTGGGAGAACAGACTTGTTCCCAGGCATGACATCTTCCATGGCAGTAATGAGCATCTGTACAAAAAGGGACTCCCAAAATCAACACCATGGGGCAAGCTTGGGACAGAAACACCAGTAGAACCCCTAATCAGAGCTCCACCATGGGGACCAAAAGACACAAGACAAAGAACACACATGATCAAAGAAACACTGGTGTTCCTACCCTATATCCCTCAAAGCCTGCCCCAACCCATAAGCTCACATTGGGGAATCAGCACCCCCTCCAGAACAGCTACATATAGTTGCTCATCTGTGCCTGTGACATCAATGGGATCTAGGAGCCCAGACTTGCTCTCACATCTCATATCTGCGTTTGGGGCCATGTGCATCTCCTCTCCAAGAGGAGGGACCCAAAGAAACAGATAGCACCATGGTGCAAGCTTGGGACAGAACAACAATAGTACCCCTAGCCAGAGCACCACAATGAGTAGCAAGGGACACAAGACAAAGCACAAACCAGGGAAATGAAACACTGTTGTTCCTACAATTATTGCTAATCCTTAATGTCTGCATATGCAGAATCCCCTATTCTCATCTTGGGGAACCAGCACTATCCCCACAAAGGCCACGTCTACTCTCAAGTCTGTTCCTGTGCCATCAATGAGATCTTGGAGTCACAACTTGCTTTCAAATCTCATATCTGCCGTTGAGGCCATGTGCATCTCCTCCCAAAGTGGAGGAACTTGAAGTATACAACAGTGATAACGGGCCTACTTGGGAGTTCAACATCTTTAGCCCTATTAAGAAGACCATCTCCATGGTGACCACCTTACATGGGCCAAATAACAACTGTGTACTTGGAGCCAGGGTGACCACTCCTTCAATTGTATAAAGGCCATTACTTGCAGAAACTTTCAAGTCCCCCTCAGGGCACCAAGACCACCATAAGAAAATCTGCATCTAGCTTTAAATCTGTCCTGGCCTCTCACCCTGGAAAATTTGCTTCTCATGGGTACACAGTGAAGAGGAACCTAACCTTTAAGGCCCCATCCTTATCTGGCCAGGGGTCTCCTGGAACCAGGAGCACTGGGACATCCACCAGATCCTCTTCCTCAAGGTCAGGACCTATTCCTGTGGGGTCCAGGAAGAAAATGCTGCCCTAAGCCAACATCTACCTTTCTCTCTTGCAGGACCTGGTGTGAATCCGGTTCAGATGCATACCACAGGGCTTGCCCTGAACTCTGTGATCCTGGGGAAAACAGGAGGCTCAGATACACAGCTTCCCATCCCTACCCACTTCCTAGGCAGCTTTGCCCTTAAAGCTGAAGAGGAGGAGGCTGGAGTCTTATTTGGGCTCACTGGTTGGGGTCCTCACCACTATAGGCACAGGCCCTCAGCCTGGCTCTCTCTAGTTTCCTTGTGATTTGGAGCTCTTTGGAGCTTTTGGGCTTTGGCCATTTGCTTGATTAGAGAAAATGAATGTTGGCAGATTTGGGGTACCACAGAGTGAGAAGAAATTGAAGGTACATAGAGGAAGCAGGCTATTGCCAAATCTCTGTTGTCATTTGTAACTGTGGTCAAGGCTGAGCCCACACTATCAGGAAGCTCCCTGGGGAGAATTTTCATTAAATGCTTTGCCTGTAACTCTGAAGCTGTGAGCATGAAGTAGATAACC